ATGCGTGTATGCATGTATGTATGCATGTATGTATGCATGCATGTATGTATGTATGTATGTATGTATGTATGTATGTATGTATGTATGTATGTATGTATGTGTATGTGTATGTGTATGTGTATGCATAATATCTTGTATTATATCTTTTCTACATGAACAATTTGTACATATTTGTATATATAGAGAGAAGACATGATATGAACATTATACACTACATATTAGATACGATGTGTTATATATTGTATATACTAAGCTAGTAAAGGGAATCGTCAGCCAGCCATGGGGCACGCAGTCAACAATTACAATTGAAAGAATAGGAATCACGGATACCAAACAATACAAACGAAATTACACCATATTCCAAAAAAATAGGAAGAAGTCTGATAAACATAGGACAGCAAATAAGAGCAACACACAGGCACTAGCAGCAACATCCATGGAACAATCACAACAGCAGCAACACCACAACAACTCGCACAATTAACGCAAGACTGTTCGAGTTAGAGGGGAAATCACAACGTACACACATTCGTGCACGTGCTTGACTCGATGTTCAACGCAAACACAATCAGCTGATAAGAAAAAAAGGCATTGGAACCTGTAAGCGGAGATCTTGACCACTGACTACTAAGAACATGACGGCATATCCCGAACGCGCAGACAACACGGTAGAATGGACAACGGCATGAGATCTAGCAATGCTCTGCTCAATGTAGAGAGGATGCTCCACCCATGCCCTTTTGCGCGGAGCTTTCAGCTCGCTTTGGACCACCCCCACCACCCCCGAAGCCAGCTAAAAGCTCGTGGAGCTTCCCCAGCACATTGCACCTGGGCCCTGGACTGACTAGCGGCCCTAGCGCCGCACGCCTGGGCCCACGAGCAATGCGTTACGTTCATCCAAGCACGCTTACCTCCTATGCCGAAATCCGACCCCTCCGAAAAGCTTTCCGTTCATCCTATATTCATGTTATGTTTCGCTATACTAATCGTATTCCGAAATCTGACCCTATCCGAACTCCTATTCCAAATTCTACTTTTCCTAAATCAAATAGTTGTCTGAACTTCTCGCTGCTGGCCAAGGGCTCTTTGCTGCTGTACTCAGCTTTTCTGAAACTACCACGCAAGCCGCTCAGAGCCCACTCGGAGTCCTCGTTGTGGAGGGCTTGCAAGATGAAGTTGCTGACCACTCCTGCTCAGGGCCGTGCGCTGACGTTCGTGTTTGCCTTTTTCCTGTGTGCATCTGTTTTCGACTGCACACGAAGGGCACAAAAAAAGGATTCCTGCTTTCTATGCTTGAACAACAGCACCTTCTACAATCTAATTCAGGGCCCAAGCTATTGGGTCAGATAATGCACTATGTCTGGCCATCATAGTCATGCTGCCTAGCCAGGAAGACAGCAAGCTAGCTATCTAGCCAGCTGAACAGCTGCCAAATGCATACTCATCATCTCATTCACTATCTGGCCGACGACGCAACGAGGTAGTACCAACCTAACTAGCTGGAACTATCTACCTGACTAGCTTTCTTGCTAAGCCAGGCATGCAAGCAGTGTAAACCCCGGACAAGCGAACTAATATCTTGCCTTATATACACACGGTTGCGCAATGTGACTGGATAAGCAGCTAGCTAGCTGGCCAGCGAACTGTTTGGTCAGGCAGCTAGCCAGAACCTCAACTGAGGAAAGCACACCAAATGAAAGGGAATACCATACCTGCACCCTAAACCCTAAACCCGAATACTGACAAGGCTCGGCCGTCGTATGGGTGCATGCCTGGGCTGAGAGGCTGCGGGAGTTCCAGACCACGGATGTAGGCAGGGACAAAGCCACCAGTGTGATGAAACCGAAGAACAAAATCGTCACAGCTTCTGACTGTGGTGAATGCTTATGATGGTGACCCAAAATTAAGGATAATGCTAAACAATTACGCAGGCTATGACATGATCATGAACTTGCGCATGGCTACAAGACCTTTACTCTGAAGATTGCACGAACAGTTTATTTGCCGTCTTTGCTACGACGCTTCCTGTTCTAACCGCAAACTCTGCTAGCTACACAATCATGCGTACAGTCGCAGTCGATTCTGCTACCAGTATTTCCTCAACAGCCATATCCTTGAGAATCCACTGTTTGCCATTGGATCCCATCCTTCTCTGCCAACTGCACGACTGCGCAGCGGAGCTCTTCGAGAAATGCCATCTACTAGCGATAAAGTCTGATTCTGCTCGCAGTTACTACGTTTTCCTTGGAAGTTGCTTGGTCTACAGATGTTCGTGATATTATTAGGAATGTTGTCTGTGTTGTTTCGAGTAAAGTCATGGAAGTGGTAACAGCTGTGGCCTCGGTCTCCGTGGTCAATTTTACTTTTGCGACGACCATTCCATGATATGCACCAGTAGCACCAAGATGATAAGTAATGCTGTAAGTCTCCTGATCACTACTACTGCTACGACTACTCCGAGCGACTAAGACCAGTCTCATATTGACTGTGATGACGAAACCTCCTGCTGTTGCTCCATGTAATGTAGGCGCCTTGATAACTAGAATAGGGTGTTGGCGCCCATTTAGTTATAATAAGGAACCCCCAAATAGTATAGGTAATTATTCAGGCCCCGATAGTACAGAAAGAAGCATTGCCAAGGCCTCTGCTGCTCCCAGTATTAGATCGATGCAAGCACATACACAGCCGGACTCTTGTCACAACTGTGCCTGCTGCACACATCCCAACACTATAAGGTTATTTCTACCTTTGCCCGGCCCATCTTAGATGAAACTTGGCACAGTAGGTTAGAGTCAGGCTGGTCTGGACTGGAAGTTTGTCGACTTTGGCTCTGACTGTGTTTCTTAGTTGAACTCAAAGCCTTCTGCCGAATCTCGATACCCTAACCCCAAATTTCATACGGGGCCTAGAAGGTTGCAATGGGGTTCTGGGATGTGCTCGGCTGAGCAGCAGTACTACTGAAAAGTGAGCCTCCCGTGCTGTTCTGAAACATCCTGAAACCCCAAATCCTGATTGCCAAAATCCCCTAAGCCCCCCTAAACCCTAAACCCTGAACGCCAAGCCCGAAACCCCAAATCTTATCCGCGTAGCCGGGCCCGTACGTGTTGAAGATTCTTGCCACGCGAATGTCCTTGGGGCTTCCAGAGTCCTTTTCTGTCGCTACGGGTTGAAGCATGTTTTGGAAAAAGGGCACCCGGGTAGGTAGTAGACTGACTGTATAGTATAGTGTGGTATGGTCTAGTATAGTACCCTGAGATTTCATACATTCGGTCGAAAATGACCATGCCCCAGCGTCGACATTGTTCATGCGCAGGTAATCAAACGCCAACGTCTCGGTCACCCGCTTGCCCTCGTCATAGCAAGACCTCGGGGTATCAACGGACCATCTCAACACTATAGGACCTAGTTTCCAAATCCCAAACCTCCCTAAACCTGAAACCGCGAAACACTGGTGACCTATGTTTATGTAGTGTAGCTTTGAGTTGAGTGAGACCTGAAACCGAGGCTTCAAACTCTACTCCCGAACGGCTCTGTTTGAGACCGCTCCGCCGAAAGAAATGAGGGTTCAGGGTTTTGAATTTAGAAGACCAAGGAGTCCTCCTCGAAGGAGAGTAAACCCACGGCTTAGGTTCCATGCACGATTCTTGCCGTCGTTTTTTGGGAGTTGCCAAATCTTTCTGATCAGGACGACGGGTTGAGATTTTCGGATTTGTGTTTAGGTTTAGGGATTGTGTTCCGGTTTAGGGCCTAGGCGAAGGACCTAAGGTCTGCGGGAACTGCTGACCAAACCCTCATGGCTTACGACAAAAACATGCACGTGCTGTCGTTGGCCCATGGACTTTTCAGCAGACTTCGGCTTGCGGTTTGCTCTGGCTGCTGCCTCTTGTCTACTTGGAGGTTCATGGGTAGTTATAAGTGGGGTTATAAGTAGGGTAACTATAATTATAACCTATATTAGGGGACTTATAACTCCACTTATAAAACCTCCAAGTACCTCTGCTGGCATGTGCAAGGCCTCAGCAGCGGAGACACCCCAAAGCCGTACCGAACATCTCCGTGAACGGGAGATACTCTATTTCATCCAGAACTGCCACAACTAAGAGGTTGCCAGTTCCAGAGCTTCCCCTACTAGCAACACCCAATATTTAAACCCAAGTCAAGAACGGGGTCGCGGTGATTCTCAAGCGCCAGCAGCTCCCCAAAAACACACCAAAGAGACTCCGAGAAGAGGCGCCGGACGCCGATGGTATTCACGTGGCCCCAGTAGTCTTCAGACTGGGGTGTGACCTGTTGACACGGAGCTCCGCTCTTTAAAGTTCGGGTCATTTCGGGTAGTGAGGGTCTTTGTTGGGGCCTTGGGGCTTTGGCATACCGAGAATGCCAAAAGTCTGATGCCGCTTATGCGACATAACGACAGATGTGGATGTCGGCCCGAACGCATGACGCAAACAGAAATGCTGGGCATTCTCGATGTTTGGAGGTCGACACGAGAGCTTCGGCAGTGGTCCCAATAGACTCAGTCGCATGCCTGTGCTTGATCAAACTTGAAAGCTCCGCTTCTACAGTGGGCCTTTCCGCAAGGCTTGTAAACTCAAAATGAAACAACGCAAGTCACAAACACAGCTCTGTTAACTGGAACTCCTTTTATCTTCTTTTAGGTCAAGAAGAGTACTTCAAAGAAACATGCCTGCCTGACAGCCCTAATCGCCTTTGCCCCAAACTCAGTAGCCTAAACCATAATCCCTAAACCGCTATGCCCCCACCCCACAAGCCAAAACCGACCGTCCCAAGCCTCCGGATCGCCGTAGATCTCGCTTGTCGATGCCTGCAAGATCCGGGCCTTGACCTGCAGCGTCTTCTTTGCAAGTCAGTCTGGGTTACAGGAGTTTAGGAGTGTAGGGTTTCGGGCTTAGGGGTTTGGGGCTTAGGGTGTAGGGCTGGGTTTAGCGTTGAGGGTGTAGGCTTTGCCGCGCTTTCGGTTTTGGGGTTTCGGCTCGCTTTGAGTAGGAGATTCTCGCTCGCATTTGGGACTGAGGTTTCGGATCGAGTCTATAAGGAGCCGGACCTTGGTTGAGAGGCGCCACGGTTGCCGCCTTCAGCGCTAAGGGTTTAGGGTTTAGGGTTAAGGGCTGAGGTCGCATGAGATGATGCAAATAGCCATCATGAACATCTAAATCCCTAAACCCTATCTGTCAAAGCTCCTGAAACGCCTGACGCTTTACCCTGGACGCCCAAACCACAGAGGGTTCGTTCCCAGCTATGAACTTTTAGCTCTAGAGGTTAGTATGTATTTGGTTTAGGATCAGGATCCACTTCGCCCATGACCCTGATCCCCAACATCCTAACTCCCAAGCACGCAGCGGCTTCTTGAGACTGGCCAAGCAGCTCGCTTGGCAAGTCCCATCATGTGGATGGTCCCCAAGACCGATACCTGCATGCGAGGCACGGTTCAGGCATCGGAGTTTTGACAGCTACCTTTGAACCCTGAGCCCGAAACCCTGAAGCCTAAACCCCGCACCCTGAACCCGAAACCCTAAAGCCTGAACCCCAAACCCTGAAGCGAAAGCTGTAGACACATGGCGAACCTTGGGCAAGACACCTGCGGAGCTGAGACCATGAACTGCTTCCACCAATACCAACAGGTCCTCAGTACTGGTTCCAACAGTCCCCTCAGGGGCTAATGTAGCGGCCTTCATAATTAGAATACGGTTTTTGGGCCCATTATACTGAATTTATAGTAAGGAACCCACAAAATAATGTCGGCAATTAGTTAGGCCCCTTTATTAGTTTATAAACTTCAACTTCCGATGCCTTGACACCGCCTTGACTGTGTGAGTCTTTTCCCTGGAGATCTATCATAACAACTCCTCAAAGGAGAACCCAAGAAGTTGAGGCATCGAGGGCTTTTATAAGAAAAGGCTGTATATGGACATGGCAGTGATACATGACACAATTGGCAAGATGTCTTCGGCAAGCTTCAAGTTCAAGCAACATGAACGTAATGTGGTTTGGAGTAGATGCTACCATAATGATATGAGAGATTTGGGGATACTCATACTGTTGCTAGCTCTTCCAACCCCACTCTTAGCCCTTCCAGGCCTTTGTCGTCTTGATGGGATTCCACTGGTAGTGCACTGGGGACGCCGGGCACGCCATGTTGTAGATCATGTCCTCGGATATTCAGGCTGTACTGCTTCTGGCGGTAGCACAAGCGCTCTCGCTCTTCGCAACCCTAAACTTGCTACTAATTCTGATGCTTCTACTACAACTAATCCTGCCACCTCTACTGCGACTACTACCTCTACTGAGAACAGCCAAGTCTTCATCAGAGCTGCACATTCGCAAAAGAAAGGCTCTGTCACATCGTGGCGGATGAACCTGAGCACTGGGATTCGTGCTTGAGTGCAAGCCTCACTCGACAATCGGAAAACCCATAAACTTAAACAAGGCTATGATATTATAGTATGTTATAGTGTGTTATAGTTATAGTAGCATATTGCAGTATATTAGAGGTTTAATGGCTGCAGTTGTTTCAGCTCAAACCCACTTACGAAGTCCACTCCGATCCTCCAAGTAGGCATGTCTTTAGAGCCTAGGTGGTGCTGAACTTCGTGTACCATGAGCTTCAGATTCAGCGTTTTAAGGCTCAATGGGACCCGAACGCAGACAGCCTTCCTGCGCATGCGGTTGACCAACACACATCCCTAACACAACACCTTGAACTTGAACGATAAGGCATAAGCAGCACCAAGACAAAAAAGCAATCTCGCCCGGAAGCCTTATGACACAACCCATGAAGCCAAAGCAATCACCCTAAGCCCCATACGCCCTAAACCCTGAACCCTCATCGAACCCTTTATAGATCCCTTAAAGCAGCCCTCAAAGGCACCCTTGAACAATGCTCATGCGAGGCAGAAGACTCAAAGCGCGGATGGCCCATGAGGTCAGCGATGCCTGTGCAGGGTTTAGGGCGCTTCAAAATGTAGTGTTTGGGGTTTAGGGCTTTAGACTAGGGTTGTTGGGTTTCTCTTGAATGCTAGGGTGTTAGGGCTAAGGATTAAGGGGTTTAGGGTGTAGGGTTTATAGGGCTTGCTAACATGGTCCATTTCAGGATTCCATTCAGGTTACTCTCAGGGCTTCTACAACCCTAAACCCTAAACCCTAAACCGAGGGATTATGGGATTTAGGATGTGGCGCTTGCCGTGTCCATGTCAAGAGTGTGACCAAAGGAACAACAGCTGGGCCGCAGCGGTATCCATGTCTGTGGTCACAGCACTGACCTGTTTAGGGTTTAGGGTTTAGGGTGCCCAAAGCCTGAACCCAATGACCTCGGAGAACATCTTGCACGTGTCGATAGCGCGGACGTCGCGAAGAAACACGAAGAAAGAGTCCACCAGCAGCAATCGAGTCTGCCTCAATCGTCCCGCAGGTCCCGCGGACGTCCTTGACGAGAAGAGACGCTTCCATGATCCATCCGGGGAGTCCACGCTGCAGCTGGAGCAGAAGGGTTTAGGCTTTAGGGTTTAGGGTTTAGGGTTCAGGGTTTAGGGTTTAGGGTTTAGGGCTTAGGGCTTAGGGCTTAGGGCTTATAGGGGCTTATGGGCTTATGATGGGGTTTAGGGGTTTCGGGCTTTAGGGTGACTGTTTAGGGTGTCGCGGCCCAAACTCAAGCTGGTTTTCAACTTCGCACGGCAAAGTCCTCAACTGCAAAACCCTCCTCCCGAACGGTGCTTAGAGTCTAGGGCTTAGGCTTAGACTCAGCCTCTAATCAGACAATTTCGCCGAAGCACTGCAGTGCTTCGGCTCTTTGAACTCAGGACCCCAACAAGCCCTCAAGCGACAGGTAGCTGCAAGCAGCCGCTCCAAAAGCAATCCGAAACCTAAACCCTTAAACTCCCAATGCAGGGGCCTTAATAATCAGAATAGGGTTTTGGGGCACATTATACTCTAATTATAATGAGGAACCAACAGAATAATTCTGGTAATATTTTTTCAGGCCCCTATATTAAACATCAAACCCCTGAACCTTTAAATGTCGCTAAGAGAAAGATCCTGCCTGATCGAGTGGAGGTGAAGTAGTTGTCCATGCACATGACCTCGTGGCCCTCGGCCAGCAGGCGCCGGCAGATGTGGGAGCCTGGAGGCTGTGGTGGGTTTTGCGGCTTTCTGGCGGTGAAGCTTAGGGGATTGAGGAGTTTTAGGGTGTAGGGTTTAGGATTGAGGAGTTGAGATTCTCGGGGCCGGTTGGGAGTTCGATTTTTTGGGGTTGGGGGCCGACGTGCTCACATCGGAACTTTGCTGCTTCATGCACCAATCCCCCGCTGAGCCCCTAAACCCAAAAACCTTAGGGTTTAGGGTTTAGGGTTTAGGGTTTAGGATTGAGGAGTTGAG